CTGACCCCCTCCCGGGGGCGGCCAGACGGCCCCCTTCCTGTGGGGACGGGACATTGGGGATGCGGAGCCCCAGCCGGGCAGGAAGGACGCCTGTGCCCACGCAGTGACCTGCCAGGCAAGGTGATGCCACACACCCCAGCCACTGGGGATGGCCACCACTGCCAGCTGCGGGCTGAGCCACATTCCCCAGGTGGCTTTTTCTGTGCAAGTGCATGGTGACACAAGGCACTACATAACCTTTATTTTGTACCAGCCCTGTCACACCCCGTCCAAGACCACTGGAGCTATCAGCACACCCACTTTCCCAGCAAGCACCCAGCCCAGAGCAGGATACAACACATGGCACCCACCCCAGGGGTCGCCATGGGGCACAGGAGCTCAGCTACCCCAGGGCTGGATGCTGAGCATCCCTGACGGGCAGCATCCCACCCGCATCCCCAGAGGAGCGAGGGCAGTCGGCCGCAGCCAGCACTGCCGATTCAGCAGTCACAGTGCTGGGCAGGAGGGATTTGCAGCACCGCAGGACAGAGCAAGGTCGGAGCCGGCACCTGCCCTGGGAGGGCGGCAGAGCAGCAGTCATGGCCAGCCTGAAGGACACAGCTGGGACCGCATCTCCACACTGCTGTGGCCACCAAGCCTGGGCACGCATCCTCGCAGCCGAGACCATCACGCACGGTGGGACTCTGGCTGGCACCATCCCTCCAGCTTCGCTCATGGCAGAGGGAAGAGTTTGGCCCAAGGGAAGCAGCGGGATCCAAACCGCAGGGCTCGGCCACGGCAGGGAGCAGGGACAGGTTGCGGCTGCCCCGTGCAGGCAGGTGTGCCCAGCAGTCTTGCCCAGGTAGGCAGGGACTTAAGCTTTGTCTATTTATTGCTGCCGCCCAGCCAGGCCCCGCAGCCTCTAATCACCTCCTGCCGCTCTATTCCTGGCCCCTTGTGCAACTCTCCATGGCAGCATCGCCGGACAGGTCCGGCCACTCGCTGCACCCACACTCGAGCCAACAGGATCTGGCTAGCAGCTTGCCGGCCTCCTGCCCTCTGCCTGCAGCACCCTGCCTGCGGCTCAGCCTCCCTCCCCCCCACGGTGGTGCCCCGGAGCAGGGACCCCCAGGCAGGACGCTGTGCCCCAGGGGCTCCCCTGCCCTGGTCTTGCTCCCTCCCCAGCTGAAGAGCCTCAGGCAGCCCCAACCAGCAGGTCCTGGAGGAGATGCCAGCCAGACCGCACGTGACATTGCTTCCAGTGGTGCCAGCTAGTCCCCTCCTGGGCCAGGCAGGGACAGGATGCTGCATGCCACCGGCAACCCCTGCTCCTCCTGCTGTGGCAGGCTGGCCACCCCAGGGACAACTTTGTCACCTGCTGTGGAGAACCCTGGCAGGACCCCTCTGGAGGGGTCAGAGCAAGCCCAAGCCAGGGCAGGAGGGCTCCTTGGCAGTGCCCTCACAGCAGCCAAGGCAAGCAGGCAGAGCACCCTCCCCGCCAATGGCAGGGCCCCCGCTGCCGGGGCCTGGGGGCTGTGTCCCCACACTGCGGGCGACGGCCGCTGCAGCCTTGCTTCATCGTCCACTGCCTGCCGAGCGGTTCCTACAGGCTGGTGGCACCATGCAGGCAAGGGCAGGAGCCAGCCTGGGCACTCCAGCAGCAGGGATGGCCCTGCTACCCTGGGAAGGGACATGCTGCAAGAAAGCAGCAGTCGCCAGGGGCAAAGGGGCACCAGGAGGGGACCATGGCCCATCCCAGAAGCGCCTGGCAGGGAGTGAGTAGCAGGGATGGAGATGCAGGCTCTACAGCCAGCTGTTGCCTGGTACAGGAGGGGAGCACACAGATCCAGATGTTTGGATCCAGCCCCCACAGTCACAGCAGCCCAAAGGTACGAGGCAACAGCTGGAGATCCCAGAACTCGCTGGCACCCACAAGAAGGCACCTGCGCTCATGGGTGCCAGAGTGTGCTGGGACAGAGGGCCGGAGGGCTGCTGGCTCCATGGGGGGAAAT